TTAACACAGCAACTTTTTTTTGGTTGCTGGCACTTTTATCTGCCTATCGTTATGTATGTACTGTGAAATTTACATGGGAAATAAATTGAATTTGAGTACTTGTTGTGTTATTCTTGTGTTTAGGAATACAGGATACATATGGTACAGTATTGTCACCTTAAAAAAAAACACCAATGTCCCGCTCAATAGCGCTAAATATCAATAAAAATTTAAAAAGAAGAAAATGCCTCGCAGGTGTGCAATGATAAATTGTTCTAATAGTGGGCAAGGGTTGTCCTATTTCTCCTTTCCCAAGGACGAAAAAAGGTAACGCATGTGCTCCTGTGTTAATTGTCAAACGGTGGGTCACGTGGGAGGGAAAGTTGGCTAAATGCCAACTTGGCTAATGTCCAAAATCAGCCAAGTTGTGTGGGCTACCACAGATAGCAATGATACGTGTTGGGAGGGGGACTCTTCCCTTACTCGATTGCTACATACAAATGGTTTTGTTAATATTTTAACTGTTTTAACTACACTGAATCACCTTCTACAGACTGAATGTTTTTTTAGGAGTTACCCTATGCTGTGGCCTAATGACCTTGCATAGATGGAAGTCTACAACTTAATCCTGAACAAAATTGATTTCTCATTGATTTCTTTTCATCAGATGTTGAAAATTGCAATAGGAGGTGATTTATTGATTTATTAAATAGAACAGCATATGAAAAGTATGAATAATAATAAAATAAAAATAAAAAATACAATTCTGTGTGTGTGTGTATGTGTGTGTGGAGGGGGGTAGTCTCACATCTACATCTAAGTTTCCACTCTAGTTTGGAGGCAGTGGTGCATACAGTTTAAAGCGTCCACTTCCTGTTACTTTGAAATTACATTTAATAAAATCTCTCTCAGGTCTGATGAGTACCCTGTCTGCCAGCTCAGAGATGCAGACCCCCACTCTCGGCCCCCAGTTCATAGCGGGGCCCCAGGGTAAGGTGCCTGGCAGGAAGAGAGGACGGCCTCCTATCCGTAAGCTTGAGTTCCAGAGTCACTACGTTGAGCCTATGTTGCCTATCAAGGTCCCGAAGAAGAGAGGCAGGAAACCTGGCTTTAAGGTAAGTCAGTCACCATTTTTAATAACCATGATATATATTTAAAGAGATCCTGTAAACAAATGTTATGTTTACATTCAGATTTCTCAATTAAAGGTGTACAAGGGGTGTTTCCTTGTGGCAGAACAAATGTTTCCTGCCTCATAAAATGTCTGCAAATGCAATTTATACATTTATTAAAACCTTCATTGTTTACATCCATGCTTACATAGCTAGCAGTCCTCTTCTTCTGTGCATTTGCTGGTGCATTGCTAGGTTTTTTGGCATAATGCCACCATCAACTGTCCAATAGTGGAATTGTGGAACAGCGTGGAAAATGTAGGACTGTGAATGTCACATATATGCGCCTCCTCATGTGTGCTAGTTGAGCATGAGATCCAAACAAATCAGGGACCCACTCATCAAAACATAGCTCCATATTGCCACTTGTACCTAGTTACCTTTAATGATTGACATCACAATTCACAATACATCACACATTGCTATTGCTGCTACCTATAAATATGTTAGTATTGGTATTACTTTTGTCATCAGTAATGATATTGATATTGGCACTATTATTGTTAGTGGTATTTCTTGAGATCATGTTTTGGTATTTTGCTTTTATTAAGCAACCTGCTGTCTAGATATAGACAGGAAATGTTGTGAAAGAGAAGCTTTAACATGCAACACAGGTCCTTGACCAGAATTAAACTGGGCCCCTTGGGATGTTGGAACTGGAAATGAACGTGGTATTGGTATTGGCAACTGGTAATGGGATTGGCAACGGTTATTATAATTGGTATGGTAGTGATATTTATAGTGGGAGGGCTGTTGGAATTGGAATTGGTTTTAGCGACCTACATTTTTTTTTGATTACCTTACTTTTCATCTAGTGCCACCAACAGGTTAAAAATTCCATCCTTCTAACATTTAAGTGGATGACTGAATATGTCTAAAGCTATGTCCAAATTCCTGTTATTTGCTACCACAGCCCACTGTGGTGACACCTATCAGCCATAAGTCACATTTGTTGCAAAAAGAATTTGGATCAATCCAACAATTTTGTTTTCTGATGTGCATCCCTTGCATCCTTGTATATGTTTTCTTTATACTGAAAAACCACTGTTGGTGTGTGTGTGTGGTGTGGTTGTGTGTGTGTTAGCTGAAGTCCAGGATGGTGATTCACCACTAGCTAGACTCTCCTCCCAGCAGCACACGAGAACTGAGATGGCTCCCTCCCACAGGATGCTGCTATCTGTCCCACTCTTGCCACTCCACAAGTCTAACAGGTTACACCACATGCCAGAACCACATGCAGACACACACACACACACACTCATCATCTTCACCTTTTCTGTCTAGTAATACTATCATAAATGATAGCAGGTCTGTACAGAGTGAAATCAGGAAATGTAGTGTTAAGAAAGCAGAGGGGATATGATATTAGAGAAGCAAGAAGGTTGAGTTACGTCTAATGGGGTTTTTTTAAGACTTGAGACCTGGAGCCATTCAGTGTGGTTGGAAGGTGGTCCTAATATCCTTACAAGTATTATACACTCACAGCTTGACTTGTGTGTGTGTGAGTTTTATGGTATGAAATGAACCCTTCCTTCCTCTCTTTTGTTTCTGTATCGCCTGTGACTTCAGTTTAGTGCTAGAATATACGCTTCTGTCTGTGCAAGTGTGAGTGTGGCGTCTTTCTTCTTTGTTCTCTAAATACACAGAAGACTTGTTCTCTGTGACGACGTATGCGTTTACATGTAAAACATTACACTTGAGTGCGCGTCTGCGATCTAGTTTTTGTGGGTTTATTGTGTATGTTAACATGCTTTAAAATCATATCTTCTCTTTTATTCACTTTCAATCCTTCGTCGTGTCGGCTCTGGAGAAAATCAGACATTTTTAATTCATAAAAAAATACAGCCATCCTTTATGTCCCGCTTTCATTTTTTCTCTCCTTTTTTTCCCTCGTGGCCTGTCCTGCTCTGAATAAACAAATATTTAAAGATGTCTTTAGTGTATTTGAGGTGGGAATGGGAATCTCATGTGTCAAGGACCAGCGCTTTGCTCTTTGTTCTTGCAAATCATGAAAAGTGTTTGATGTCAGACTGTAGACATACAGAAGCAAGGCGTGCACACACACACACACATATATATACACATACTACAAACCAGTGCTCCCCCTGCGGTGCCACCCAAACGCATATGTAAATCATGTGTCTGGTGAAATAGAGAAGCATTTCAAAAATCTTTGTATTTTGTGGATTTTTTTGGTGGATACTGCATGCAATGTACATTCCGTTTCAAATCCTAATACGTTTGTTATATTATCTTTTTTTTTTTACATACATTTATTATTTCTAGTATCTACATTGCTTTTTCAAGAATATTTGAAGTGTTAGGTTGTAAAGATGTAAAAGAACTGTTTCTCAAATATTCAAATAATAAGCATTAATTGTGTTATATGAAGGTCGTTCTGTACTGTGTGTGTGTGTGCATTTGTGTGTGTGTCAATATATAAGCCTCCAAACTCACATGCGCAGATCTTATCACATAATTGATTTTTCAGAACACAATACAATGCATTTGACCTTTGTGTAAGCCCAAAGTAGAGGTAATTCAGAATCATCTCAGTGGAGTATTTTAGTCTTATAAATCTGTCATCTGGTAAATCTATAACTGCCCAGCTCTGGCATAACCAGCAGGCACCTACATTATTGACAAGCTGAAAAACGGTTGGCACAAAGGAAGCAGATTCAAAGGAATTACTGACTACCTTTCAGCTGTTTTACATCCACACAGTTACAGGCTGAAGATGCTTCAAGCAGCATACCTGTGCATTTATTTAACTCACTATGTAAAGGACATTAAAAATGGAACTGCTGACTAATACAGTACATAAGCCTGCTGACTTTATATTGCCAATGCTGTTATTTTAGTGTTGAATGTTGAATAAATCGTCTTTTTTAGAGTCTGCAGCCACTCTTTGAGGCGGAGCTAAATGCTAATTTAAGCATCCGAACATGGTCAGAAAGACAATGCTAACATGAGGATGTTGCTGCATGTATAGACTAATGTTTACCGCATGAATCGTGTTTGCTTAGTGTGTTAGCAAGTTTGATAATTAGCACTCAATATAAAGTACAGCTGAGGCTGAATGTCATTAGTTTGGCGGGTATTTATTCATAAACCAAAGTATCAACAAATTCAGGGAGTTGCCAAAATCATGAGGATCCTCTGAGAACCATGTACAAACCTTTGCACCAATCCATATATTTCACAGGATAAGGAAAAGTTTGAACTGTTGACAGACCTACATTGCCACCCTAAAAAGACAACATTTTCCAAATGGGCTGGGCTTTAATGACGCCACTTCCTGTCCTTCCTCCTCCAGCAGAGACGCCAATGCCTGATGACTTCTTATGCGACCCACCGGTGGACTCCAAGCGCTACGCTGTAGATCCCAGTGACTCTGCCTTCAATGTCATGACGTCACAGTACCCACCAAAGCAATCCTATGGTTACCGTGGCAGCATTTGCTCTACTCCAATGGGTTTGTGCAGACAAGCATCAAGCCCAGGAAGCTTCCAGGAAGGAAACAGGAATGGTGAGGCCGTGTTTTATATTCAGATGTACATTCACTAAGAACAGAAGAGCACAGATGGTGTTATACAAAGCAGGCCAGGTTCAGGAACCCGTTGGTAAATTTGGTTTGCAGTAAAAGATTTTATATATATTGCTGTCATTTACACCTTTTAAAAGGCTTAACCGCTTTGCGCTAAAGCATTAAAGGTCCTGTACACATATGGTCCACCTGCAAAGGCATTTCCACTTATTTGCCTGATTCGACCTCCTTTTAGCACAGTGGAGGTATGTGCCAAGTGTGCTTGATCTCTCTGTCTCTTTCTCTCGTTGCACCCATTGAAGCGTGATAACTTACACTTTATCATTCTCATTGGTCTGTCGACATGGGTGACCTCATGTAATTTCCATCCTAGCTTCGCCCAACTTCAACTGGAATCAGTCAGCTTAATGTTAAACACCTGTGTGGCAGAGCGACTAATCTGGGAAACCCTTAAAAAATTGCTGTACTCTTTTTTTGTTGACCATGAACAAAATTTTATTTTGAAGCATTTTGAACAGATGGGAACTAGAAATAGAATATACTGCCAAATATTGAATTACATTGCTGTTGTTCTTTGTGTGGATTAAACAAATGAGGGTTAATGAGTGAGTTTTAGAGGGTCTGGTAGGCCTTTTGTTTCCCTCAAACAGAGTCAGCCGAGTTGTTTCCCTCTGTTTCTAATTTTTATACGAACTAAAGCTAAGCTAACTATCTCTTGGCTGTAGCTTCATATTTAACAGACAGCTGCAAGAGTATTGATCTTCTCATCTAAATCTCAGCAAGGAAGGGAATAAACAAATTCCCCAAAATGTCAGACTGTTCTTTAAAGTTCAACCTTTCTGCTGTGGAACTTGTCAGGTGACATTATAAGACTGTCAGTGTTTTGTTTATTTGTTTATTTGGATATGCATTACGTTTAAGCATTTTAGCATCTTCACTCCACCTGTTCCCTTGTGCCACCTAGCATACAGTCCGATGCCAGACTCTGGAGAGTGCAAGCGTCCTACTGGTAAGGACCCATCCAGCTGGGGTGTTGAGGAGGTCATTTGGTTCATCAAAGATGCTGATCCCCAAGCCCTGGGACCCCACGCTGATGCATTCAGGAAGCATGTGAGTCCAGACTACCTTGTAGCCCATGGCCATTGACTGTTACTGTAATACTAAACGTATCGGAACACAGCTTTACATCCCAGTGTGCATTGGGGCATTAAAGCAGGAAACTGCTTGCAAGAGGTAGGGTACACTTTAGCTTAAAACTCTGTCTGATACATAAAGATCAGCAGATATGGAAACTAAATGAAGACTATTACAGAATTTTTAAAGCATAGTAAGGGCCGGGCCCCAAGCTATATTACAAGCCTTTTAACTCCCCATAAACCACTGTGCTGCCTCTGATCCTCAGGCAGGACTACGGCTTAATATTTAAAGTGACCAGGATTTTCTTATGATAGCTGCAAGGCTTTGAAACAGCTTGAGCACAGGATAGGGTTGGTAATAAAGGGGGCTTTATTTTATATATAAAACTTGCTGTTAATGCCTTTTTATTAGTTATTTTGACACTGTTTTCAACTTTATTATATGGTAGCTTTTGGTTGGTACAATACTTTATATATTATTTCTTGCAGTGATGATACAGGTGCAGAATTTAAAGCATCGTTTTATTACTCTATCCATAAAGTTAACCACATAAACAGGTGAAAAATGTGTCATATTTTAGATGCTATTAATCACATGGTTCTGTGATGTGTTTCAGGAGATAGACGGAGACGCTCTGCTCTTGCTGAAAAGCGAGATGATGATGAAGTATCTGGGACTGAAGCTGGGCCCTGCGCTTAAACTCTGTTACCACATCGACAGGCTTAAACAGAATCGGTTGTGACTTGCTGATCACCTTTCACTAAAACTGCACCACAGCTGATTCTCTCAAACTTTCTCCACCATCAGCAATACATCATGAACGCCTTGGGATCACTTGTTGGCTTTTACTGCATCTGCAACCACATTTTGTTGACAGAAATTGGACGTGTTGACTGTACATATTAAGACTATTTACAGTTGAAGCAATTATTTAATTTCCATCATTGTTTACTGGGTATCTATCTTTACTGGGAATGGCTTTAGGTTGTAAATAGTTCAGCTCCACGCAGATGGCAGCTACTCTATATCAAAACCATTGACCTATATTGACGTCCACACTGCAGTCTGCACACAACTTACTGTTATTTGTGCAGATCTTAATCGCGGATGCCGTATCAACACCTCCGAAGACCCACAGAGACAGGGAACTTAACAATCTTGTATGGTGCTTTACCTCTATATCATATTTAAACTTAAACAAGTATTTGGTTACGGCACAATACTGCTGCACTTTTAAAATATTCTTTTGTTAATAAGTATTGTTGAAAAGTGGTGATAACATTAACCCGGGTATCACTCCTACACACAAACTGTAACTAATAACTGATCTTGGACACTTTTCAGCAAGTATTGAAATCTTTATATTTATTTGAAATCGTTTGACCAGTAGCTAGTGTGAGTCACTCTTGAGTAAATCAAAATTAAAGGAATTAACCTTAATATAAGTGAGAAAATCTTGACCCAAGGATGAGATATTCACTTTTTCTAATCAATTCTGTTTAGTTTCATGGTCTTATTTCAATATTAAAACAACATGAACATGAAAAACAGCATTAGAAACTTTGCTGTTGTGAAACGAAGTGATTTGCTAACATGAACATTTTTACCACAAACCACAGCCCAGCAAAACAGTGCAACCGATGAGGCGTTGTACCATTCAGAGGTGCTTATAATCACACAGCGCACATAATGACAGGAAAGAAAGACGCTGGGGCTTTTCAGCGTGCTCTCGTGAATTGTCTATCATGTGATACTCACTGGTTTTAAAATGTCAATACTGAATAGCAGGCCACTTTGCAACCTAGCTGATGAGGCTTCTGTTTTACTTGGGGTTTCATAAGTGGTGTGAGTGAAAGCAACTTGTAGCAAACTCATACAACTTGGTGCTCACGGAAACCATTACTGCCACTACGACCATAACACTTAACAATTTAATCACTCTCCTTATACAGTTAATCACTATCTCTTCCAGATAAAGCTACAGTTTACATTCCTCTCATGCAATACCTCTTCAGTAACTTTTAATATAAATGCCTCTGAGTCATGTTTTGTTCTGCCTATTGATTAAGCAGTATTTAATTTCCAAACTGTGAAAAGTGATTAAGTAACATGTCTTGAGCATTAATAATAACAGTTTTTTGCAGCAACCAAATACAGTTCTGACATATAAAAAATGTACAAACAATTTGTAAACACATTAATGATCAATCACATGCAGTATATGACAAACTCGTACAATGTGTGGCTAAACACAATGCTTTTTTTTGATCTGACTGTACAGTACTTGTTACTCACTTTAATCTTTTGCGTTCTGTGTGTTTTGTTTAACTTTGTTAAAGTCAGTGTGCCACAGACATATGTGAGTACAGCATGTATGGCTATGTATGAATTCTGTATTTCATGGCTGTCTTGAGCCCTAGTGAGTTAAAATTTCACCTTTTATTTTCCAATTTTCAGTGTGATAAATTGATTTAAATGATTTACAGGAAATGTGGCAGTTTTGTTGCACAGGAGCTATTTCCACAACGAGAAATGTACACACATTTTTATCATCAAATTTGGCTCCCTAATGACCTTCCTTTTCTTATTAATATAATGTTTTTAAAGCAGACTTTTTACAGACAAAATAAAACTCCTTGTTTAATGAATTCTGGCCTCATTATTATTATTATTATTATTATTATTATTATTATCATCATTATTATCATCATCAGTAGTATACATACATGTTCATTTAATCTATTTTAACAATGGAACCTCAAGAGGGTTTCGGACCTTTACTTTGAAGAGTGCGAGATTAACGCGCTGCTTGCTTTAGTATCGCGAGATTAGAAGCCGTTCACTTCCTGTATGAGCGTACCAGTTATTTTCATGCGGCTCCCACAAATGTGTGCATCTGTCAGCCAGAGGTGAACATGGCAGAGGTCTCGGAGAGGACACTACAGGTCGCGGTCGTGGCTTCGTTCGCTGCCGGCTTCCTGGCGGGCTGGCAGGCGAACAGGATGCGGAGGAAGTTTCTGGACTGGAGGAAGAAACGGCTGCAAGAGAAACTGTCAGAGACTCAGAAGAAGCTGGATTTGGCTTGAATGGTAACGTGGGAACTTGTCTTGCTACAGTCGGCTAATGAGAGTAACTTGAGGCCTGTGAGACTTGTCTGCTTCTAAATTAGTAGAGAAAACAACGTTGAAACAAAACAACCCTACAGATATTGGCCTCGTCTGGACGTAGATTTGGACCTAAGTGCAGTGTCTCACCCGCATGCATAGGCCCCAAACCTGTTAGTCAACTGTCTTGAAGAGTTTAAAGGTTTGTCTTTGTGACCATGGTGCTTCAGCAACAGTGTCTGATCATTATATTCTTTATTTCCAGGGGCCCTCTGGTCTTCTGTGTGAAGCTGCTGGCTGTCTGTCACTGTGAGAACACACCTCAAGATGACCTACCTGTGTGCTGCACTATACACACTTTTACCCCACCACACCTTTTTAAATCGAGGCTGAACTTGATATCCAGTGGAGTCTATGGGAATACAGTCATTACCTACATACAGCAGCTTCCTTTCTGCCCTCGGACACTGACATGGAAGAAGTTGGGGATCTGCCTTCAGTGGTTTTCTGTTCCAGCGTGTGTCAGTTTCTATCTGTTTCATATCTGGTCAAATAAATTATTGGTGTTTTTCATGTTTCTCTTATTATGTTTGTTTTGTCATTTGGAAAGCCAGTATTCCACATAGAGCTTCCAGCTGTCATCGTTACGGGTTCAGTAATTTGTGACAGAGCCAAAAGACTTTATAAGGTATGAAATCCTGTAAATAAATAATATTCATGGCCAGAATTTGAAATGTCTTAACCCTTGACCTTAAACAGACCAGTGACTTCCATTCCTGCTCCCCCACCATTTATGTATGTAAATGTGTGTTTGTGACATATTTGCAGCATTCACCTTACACACCCATGTACACACCCAGTGTGCTGGAGGCAATGTGATTCATATTAAAGGGCTCCAGTTGCCAACAAAACATAAATTGAACAGAAATTAGTCGTGGTTACAGTTGAGTATGAATGTGAACTGTAGTTTAACTTTATTAATTATAAATATTAAAAGCTCAATTTAATAACATCAGACTTAGCAAGTTTTATTCTTAGTTGTGGCGCCATCTGCTGGATGAAAGTGGGAGTCACAAGTTGGACAGCAAAGTTAGTGCTATACTAAAGATTACACTGACAGAATTTGTTATTTTTGTGATTTAAACAACAATTTAAACAAATCCTAAACCACATCACCACCTGTTATACTTGTGAATGTTAAATGTTCAAAGAACAGAGGCTACAATATATTTTTAAAATAAAAAATCCATGTACAGTGATCCATCATCTTCCTAATAAATTACATATGTTTGACAAAATAATCCTAACTCAAGGACAACTTTCTGTCTTTTATTTGTCTTGCTTTTATGAGCTTTTATCCCTCAATCTGCTGATGAAAGCTGTGAAATGCTGTTTCCAATGTAAAGGACGAACTTTAATGCTCAATACTAGAAGTGTTATTATAATAATTATATGGTTTATTTGTATACAGATGTGCATTTATACTGTGGATGTTGAATCACATTATTTTTAATGGCTTGAAGCTTTGCATGTACCCAACCTGTCTACAGGTGGTGCTAGTGCACTTTAATACTTTATGCACACAAAACAAGCTTTAGCCTACAGCATTCTAGTCACTGGTGCTGAAATTAGATCCTGTGAGCAGATCTCTCTTTTTCATCATCACCAGTCTAGCAGGTCTATTACCTCCTCTCAACAAGCTTTTGACAAGACCTTAAGAAGTACCTTTTCCTGCAGCACTCCATCAGTGCACTCCATCAGTGGCTTGATGAGAACGAAGGTGGAGAGGGATCAGGAGAAGTTAAGATGACAGATAAATACAAAATCTCGCCTATAGAATTTAAATATCTCAATATGTTTACAGCAAGGACTGCAAAACAGCCATATGCTGGTGTAGCTGTCAGTGCTTCAAATCTAATATTTCTAATCATATTTCCTTAAATGTTTTAAGAGATGAATCAGTACTTTAAATAATAGAGTGGTTACATTAACAAGGAAAAAATAAAGGCAATTTTTAATGGTGGCTTTTAATCACTTGTGCATTTAACCGAAATCCAATTTCAAGTCAATGTACCCTAGTTTGGGTCACATTTTATTGAGTTAATGAGAAAGTATTACATTAAGTTGTGTCAGAAAAAATGTGCATTAGAAAACCGACTGTTTATGTATTTCACACACACACACACACAGATCTAATACCAATGCTTCATGTGTAAACTCCCTTTTTTGACATTTTTACTAGGCCTGAATATAGAAAAACCTATCCTCACATATATGAGGCTTGGGACAAGTAACATAACATTATGTTGTTGCGGTCATACCATCACTTACAGGCTATGTGAAAAGGCTGATCATAAAGATCTTTGAAACACCAATAGCAGACATGTCAGAAATGTGTGAAAAAATATACAAAAACACAAAATATATATAAATAGATCAAATACTCAATTGACTGTGGCTATGTTTAGTAATCTACTCATATAATACATGGATTATAATTACAAAAACATTCTCAGGCATTTTTCAGTTTCACTGACTTTCTCTTTAAATTCACTTGAATGGTGTAGCCTAGTTTTTAAAGAGAAAAAAGACAAATGACAGACAGCTTAGCGGGAATTAAAATGCGTGAGAGGGAAATGAGCATCATGGGAGGAGAAGTGTGTAGCTGTTTGTGTTTTGGATGGTATTCTAGAGAGGGCGTTATTGTCCCTCAGTGTCTAATGCTGTGGCTAAATTGTGATGAATAGCTCGCCGGAGTGTGGGGTGCTTGTAGACGGCAACTGTCTATTCCCTGTTTATTTTGTAACAAGCTGTGTGTGATTGTGTGCAACAGCAGTGCTGGTGAGTATAGCTGAGAAGTATTTTCAAAGTAGATGAGAAGGATGGTGACTAGAGGAGATAATGTGCAAGTGAAGCAAAAAGAGAGACAACAACAGAGAGGAGGGAAAAACAGATAGAGAGAGAGAGAGAGAGAGAGAGAGAGTCCACATTGACTGCTATGATTGATCAGATTTTCCTAATTGGCACGTAGACCTCAGAGCCTATGTCCTTCGCCTATATTGAGTGTGCTCAGTGAGTGTCATGTTTAATAAGCTTCCTGACTGGCTTTCTGGTTGTGTGATTGTGCCCTCTGGCTATAGAGTGAATGCAAAACAAGGAGGGGAGACAAATGTGTAGAGGAGAAAAGAAGACTAGGTTTAACCAGTGTGAAAGACAGAGGAAGGAAAGAAATAAGAAAGGGGCCTCTGTTAGTTATGCTGCTTTTAGAGAAAAACAAGAGTCTACAGCCTGGCGGTTCTGTGAAGCTGTACTGAAGCGCAGCATTGCTATGAGCTAATTGCTAATGGACTGATGTTGAGCAGGTATAATCACCAAAGTTATTATAAATCATCCTGAGGGGAACATGAGTGTCTGTACCAAATTTCACGGCAATCCATCAAATAGTTCTTCCACATTCCCACATTGCTCAGACAGTGTGCACCGCTTAGCTAAGGTTTCAAGGTTGAGCGACACGTTTCTATGAAACGGTGTGCAACAGGCTTTGATATACGTTTTCTCTCATGTGGTACCAGATCCTGCCACTCCCCTTTGCCTGCAATTACCTCATTCCCCTCACCTGAGCTTCCTTACCCATCTCCTCACTTGCGCCTCATTTCCTTGTCAGCCACAGAACACATAAACCAGCCCCTGTTCCCCAGGCATTTGTCAGATAGTTCCTTTGTTGCCATGTTTATTTGCTTTTCGAGCTACGTGTACCTGTAAGCTTATTTGCATCTTCAACTGGTCGTTAAATAATTGAACTATCCCTATCTGCCTGGACTATCTGCATTTTGGTCCTTCTCCTGCTGCCTCATTTTCACCTGTCTGAAAAACCTCAAGGTAGTGTGAGAGAAACAGTCAGGGGACGGTGGGGACAAAAGTCATTAGGATACACCTTCTGGGAAACATGGATGTCTGTACTAAATTTCACTGCAGTCCATCCAGTAGCTGTTGAGATATTTCCGTCTGAAACAAAGTGGTGGACCAACGTTAGACACACTGCCATTACCATCCATTAAGCTATTAAGCCATACTGCTAACATGGCTAAAAACACAGTGGACTTTTTGATGCACAAATATAACGTGAATAAGAAACTGATTTTAAAGTGTCTTCCTTATGTACAGGATCTTTACTCTAAATCAACATAAACACCTTGTGTGTTTTGTGTGACATAATTCTTTCAATCAGTCAATACTCACCTACGCAGGAAAGAGTTGTGTGCATTGATGTGTAATAGGGCAGAAAAAAGGACCTCTCTCTAATGCTTTTCATACCCATACATATATGTATATTGCACGAGTACACACAAACATGGACACACACATGTGCAAGGCTTTATTGAGCTTCAGTCCAATAAGCCTCACACAGCAGTGTTTACATGCTTATGGATGATGTGGATCTTGTCTCAGACAGGTACTGAGACTATGGATTGGAGTAATATGCTGCAAAGACTTCAGTGTAAATGATGATGTCTTGCTTTATTTGATTGAGGCTTATT